TTTGAAGTGACTAGAAGGGACAGTGGATGCTATATTGGAACCTGCAATCAGGTCAGCTAGTATTTAGTAAGAGGCTGCTATGTGCCAGGCACTGTGTTAAGATACTGGGGATTCAAAGAAAGGTAGAAGACAGCCTTGGCTCCCAAGAAACGTACATCTTACCTCAGATACTTACTAGCTTTGTGATCCTAGGTAATCAATAAACATTTATTAAGTACCTAGCATGGTCCAGATACTATGCTAATGAGCCTTGGGAATTTAAAAAAAAAAAAAAGAGGCAAAATACAACCCCTACCCTCAAAGAGTTTACTGTCTAATAGAGGAAACAACAGGCAAACAAATATCCGCAAAGTAAGCTATATATGGGATAAATAGGAAATAATTAACAGAGAGAAGGCACTAGAATTAAGAGGGGTTGGGAAAGGCTTCCTGTAAAAGATGGGATTTTAGTTGGGACTTAAAGTAAGCCAGGGGAGTTAGTAGGCAGGGTAAATCACTTAACCTCTGTCAGCCTCAGTTTCCTCATCTGTAAAGTGGAGTTAGTAGTAGCATTTAACCCACCCCACCTTCCACGTTATTATAAGTGAGGATAAAAAGAGAATTTTAAGAAGATTTGTAAAGGGTTTTGTGGCAGGATTTGAACCCAAGTCCTTTGCAACTCCTGTTTTGACTTTGCCTTCAAAGCCAGATTTAAAGCCACCCAAGGTAAAAAAATTCTCCTTTGAAAACTAACATCTTCAGTTAGTTGGACAGTCTGCCTGCATTTATCAATCAACTAACATATACCTGGCATGTGCTAAGTCGTAGGGATGCAAAGGCAGAAACAGTTTGGTCCAGGTGATCTCCAAGGTACTTTCCAGCTCTGAAATTCTGTGATTCTTTTAATTATTTCCTATTTTTCCTGTATACATAATTTGTTTGTACATATTTGTTTGCTTGTTGCCTCCCCCATTAGATTGTGAGCTCCTAAAGAGCAGGGACTGTCTTTTGCCTCTTTTTGTATTCCAGGGCTTAACATGGTGCCTAGTACCTAGTAAGCACTTGTTGTTTGGTTGTGTTCGACTCTTTGTGGCTCCATTTGGGGTTTTCTTGCCAAACGTACTGGAGTGGTTTGCCATTTTCTTCTCTGGCTCCTGTTACAGATGAGGAAACTGAGTCAAACAGGGTTAAGTGACTTGCCCGGGGGCAGCTTGGTGGCACAGTGGATAGAGCACCAGCCCTGGAGTCAGGAGGCCCAGAGTTCAAATCTGGCCTCAGACACATAAAACTTAACGAGCTGTGTGACTCTGGGCAAGTCACTTAACCCCGATTGCCTTAAAAAAAAAAAAGTGACTCGCACAGGATCACCTAGCTCGTTAAGTTTTATGTGTCTGAGGCCAGATTTGAACGGAGGAAGGAGAGTTTTCTTCAGGAAGAAGAGTTCCTGACCACAGGCCTAGCACTCTATCTACCGTGCCACCTAAGTGCCCCTATTTAGTAGACACTAAATAAATGTTTATTGACTAATTTCTCTTACGTTTTACTTAGTTCTCTGACCCAGTACCCAAACCAGAATTTTATGTAAATGATCAGTCAGTACCATTTACAGGTATCCAACTCCATGACATATTAAGCACCTGGGTTCAGTCCTGGCTGTGTTGGGCACTACCTCTTGTCACCTTAGGCAAGTCATTTTACCTTTGCAGACATGTTTTCCTCATCTATAAAATGAGGAGTTTGTACTAGACAATCTCCAAAATCCCTTCCAGTTTACAATCCTGGTATTTTGTAGCTCTACTTAAACCAAGTGTTCAATTTAGTATTTATTTAATAATAGCTAGAATTTATATAGCTCTTTAATGTTTGCATAGTTCTTTGCAAATATCCCATTTCATCTTTACAACATTCATAGGAGGTAGATGGTTTGTTATCCCCATTTTACAGATGAGAAAACTGAGGCAGACAGCATTTAAGTGATTTGCCCAGAGCCATAGTGCCGGATGACAAACTTGAACTCACATCTTCCTGACTCAAGGCCCCATGCTCTATCAACTTTACCACCTAGCTGCCCAAACAAAATTGCCTAATCCAAGCATAGTGTAGTAAATCAACTCTGTAACTTGAGATTTTTCATTCATTCCAATCAATAAGCATTTATTATTGTTGTATGCTATGGGCCAGGCATTGTGCTAGATACTGGATGTTCACACTTTTAAATTTTAAACACAAAGAACATCATTTGGAAATTAGAAGTTTGTGGGCCAGCTAGGTGGTGCAGTGGATAGAGCACCAGCCCTTGAGTTAGGAGGACCTGAGTTCACATGTGACCTCAGATACTTGACATTTGCTAGCTGCATTCACTTAACCCCATTTCCTAGCCAAAAAAAAAAAAAAAGAAATTAGAAGTTTGTAATTGACCTCATGTTCTCTAGAAGCCGCTTTCAATAACCTGAGTAACTAAGAATTTCTAGCTTAGATTGGCTTTTAATTTCCTTGGCTAAAGGCCATGACACAGAAACAATGAGAACATCCAGAAAAATTAAAATGTGCAAATAGTTGTCTTGTTTTTAATAAAAATTTTGACTAATGAACTTAATCTATAATCAAAAAGTAACTATTTCTTCTGAGAGTGGTAAGATATCAGTAGTGAATTACACTCTTTATAGAGGGTCAGTAGTAAATAGTTTTTGAAAGCTTTGTTTATATACTACTGTAAGAGTGGTCTAGAATCTAGTCTCTAGATATCCATTTAACTTTTTCAGGGAGGGTGGCAGGGGGAGGGGAGGTAATGTCAGAGTTATAGGAATGGTGAGCTTAATGTCTTGTATCTGAGAAAATAAGAGAGGCAGAACTGAGACCAGAGGAATGGGAGCTATAGCCAGACAAAGGTCTTTTGCATAAGGATAGTGTATTTCATAAGGGCTAAGGAGGCTCAGGTTATCTACACTCCTCATCTTTCATTGGGAACTAACCCAGCTGATTTGTGCTATAGTCCATCTTTTTCCATCCTTGTCCACTAATTATTATATAATTTTTTACCTGTATAGTAATAGCTAAAACATAGCACTTTAAGATTTGCAATGTGGTTTATATATATATATATATATAATCATCTTATTTGAGCCTCACAACAACCCAGTAATGTGGAGTCAATTAGATAGTACATTAGATCAGGAGTCAGGAAGACAGGAACTCAAATCCAGCCTCAGGTATTAGTCATGTAACCCTAGGCAAGTCACTTGACCTCTCTGTGCCTTAGTATCCTCATCTGTAAAATGAGGATAATAATAGCACTTAACTTTTCAGGGTAAGTGTAAGGGTAGGGTTTTATAAGAATAAAATGAGATAATATTTGTAATGTGCTTTGCAAACTTTAAATCATTATATAAATAAATGTGAGCTATTAACTACTAAAGAGATAATGATTTCTCTGATAATGAAACCCTGGTTTTTTTATGAGGTAGCCCCACTTCTTCTTTTTTTTTTTTTTTAAAGGAAATTGGGGTTAAGTGACTTGCCCTGGGTCACACAGCTGGTGTCAAGTGTTTGGTCTGAGGCCAGATTTGAACTCAGGTCTTCCTGACTTCAGAGCCGGTCCCCTATTCACTGTGACACCTAGCTGCCCCTTAGCCCTACTTCTAATATCGATTTTTTGCTAATAATGATTTTTAAAAATAATATTTTATATAACATTTAAAGATATGTAAAACGTTTTATATATTTTCTCATTTTAGTATTGCATATACTCCAAATTGCTAATATAATTTAGAAAAGAAGCCTAGCTTTTCTTAACCTATACATTATAACTTTTTAAATACTCTATTATAAATTAGGAACAGTAATATGTGTTGAGTATATAAAATTTGCCCTGTATTCTAGGCACATGGTATTAAAATTCACAACAGAGAACAATTAGAAAACTTGTTAATTAATGTTCTGTTTCTCTTTATACTGTGACTTTAGATTGAGTTGTTTAAATAACACTTCTCTCTTCTGATACTGATTGATGTCTATACTCTGAAGTTTTTTTTTAAATTTTCAGATCAACTAAAATATTACTGAAAGCTGATGATGATCTGGATGGCCTAATTAATGAAATCTTTGAAGAGCCCTGTTTTGACAAAAAGCCTGTTGTAAGTAGAGTCCCATGAACATAGTGGTTTTTCTTTCTTTTTTCTTTCTTTTTTTTTTTTTTTTTTTTTTTTTGGTTAGGTAATGGGGCTAAGTGACTTGCCCAGGGTCACACAGCTAGTATGTGTCTAAGGCCGGATTTGAACTCAGGTCCTCCTGCCTCCAAGGCCAGAGCTCTATCCACTGCACCACCTAGCTGCCCCAACATAGTGATTTTTTCCTTCTGTATTTAGAACATTCAGAAAATTTGAAGACACAAGTAACTGTACACATTCAGTTGAATAAAGAGCGGGGGCTTTCGAATCAAAGGACCTCAGCTATCCCAGCTTTGTTCCATATTACCTGTGTAACCTGGGACAAGCTAATTAATCTCTCTGACCCTCAATTTTTTTCATATGAAAAATGAGGAATTTGGTTTATATGACTTCTAAAGTCCTTTACAACTCTCTAAACCCTTTGACCTTGAATTTAATTATAAAAAATAGCATTGTTATTTTGACTGCAAGTAACAAAAGGCATTTAGAAACTTGGTGATTTGATGTTCATTAGGTGTTGGCAGCAGTAATTAGAAATCAGGAATGTTTTCATTGCCAGTAATGATCTCATAGATCATCAAAGCCATTCAGCTAATAAAATGTAAGCTTCTTCAGGACAGGGCTGTTTCACTTTTTGTCCTTGTATCTATACTGCCTAGCACAGTGCCTTATACATTACTGTGTACTTAATAGTTAGTAGGAAGTACCTAATAATAAACAATATAAATTATGGAATTTAATCTGCACCTATTTGCAGAAATTGTTTGATCTCAAAAACCACAACCTGTATGATTGTAAGTCCAATTGGTAACTTAGAGCAATGTTATAGTTGTTCTAGGATTTTATCTAACATTTATATGTCAGAACTAAAACAAGGAAAATAAGCAAAATCCAAGTTTAAAAAAGGAAAAACAACAACCCTAGAACCGAATAGCAAAGTTCAAAAACAAGATCAATGCACAGAATCCACATGGAGACTGTGCTGTTAGAGACTTGTAATGCCATTTCAGTAGTCTTTTGTCAGCCAGCCTGAAAATGAACTGAAACAAGAAGCATTGACCAAAGGCTTTGGGGAAAGAAAAAAAAAATGAAATGTCCTCAGCGAGTTTACATTCAATTAGGAAAGACAACATGTGCATAAATAAATGGATACAAAATAAATTCAAGGTAAATGATTATGGAAGGGGAGGGCGCTAGCAGCTGGAGGGAACAAGAAGTTTCATGCTGGTATTACTTGGCAGTCTGGTAGAAGACTTGGAACCCTTCTTGGAATAATGTCTTTAAAATTATACTGAAATGCATTTATCAAAAAAAAACTGTAAACTAATTCGTGGACTCGCAGGTTAAAAATCCCAGCTCTCTTAAAGAGCTCTAATGACAGGTAATCCCACACTACCTGAAGTGGCCTATCACGGTCAGACCCAGCCCTGACCTGGATTCTATTCTGCATGACCTTAGTGCCTCAATCTGACAACAATACGGAAATTACCTAAGACAAATAAGTGTATTAGTGTTGTGGTTACAGATTGGGACTGGGGGTAGCAGAAGGGACAAGGCTGGTTGAGGAGAGAGCTGTACATAGGGGCCACAAATATTCCTGAGAAGAGGAGGCACAAATTCCTAAGTGCCTGCTGATACATTTCGGTATCTCAGCTCAAATGAGATCATTTTTGTAAAGTGCTTAACACAACACCTGGCACAAAACAGTGCTGTGTAAATGCTTATTCCTTCCTCTTTCCCTCCTCAGAATCATGCAGCCAGCAGCATAAGTATTAGCCCAGATGTTGGAGAAAACGTGGTCCTAGGAGGAAGTGATGACCCTACCAACCATTCACATAGAGCATGCTCCCCAAACAAAAAAGGGAGATTGATACACTTGTACTGGGGGGGGAATTCTTTTCACTTAAAATGGGAAGTTTACTTCTGGAAGAAGAGAAAGAAAAAGCAAAGAGACATTTTTGTCTTCATTAAAAGTTTGGTCATACACCAGGCAAAATAAAGACCTGTCTCTGCAGAATTAATGCTGCCATTTCTCTTTCTCTTCATCTCTTTTTGGCAGAGAGCCTGCTTCCTGGTTGGTATATGTTATACAGTATCACATGCATAGTTAACACTTAATAAATGCTAGCTAATGATGAGGATGTTATGTAACCATATAGGAACTGCTGTATAATTGTAACTAAGTATCTGTACATTTTCCCTGAATTTCTATTGGCTAAGACCATTTCATTTGATTAAGATTAATATTACTGAAGTTAACCAGGAGTTGGCTAGTTTATTTTTGGTTTAGGTGAGTCCTACTCACATACCTTACAAATGAGTCTGATTTTTTTCCTCCTCTGTTGAATTTTTCCAGAATGTTTTTTTAAACAGCAGTTTCTTCATATTAAATCATTGAACCAAAATATTAATAGAAGAGTTAGAAAGTAACTCTAAATCATCATATGTTAATAATAGCAGTATATCATTTCCCTAAACTGAAAGGCAGCAGGGTGATTTACAGATTCCTCAGGGAGTTCTGCTTCTCTATGTTTGCTGCCTCTCAAGGATTTACTCATTGTTTTTATTCCAGAAACTTTAAAATGATTACATTCATATTTTTGTTGAAAAAATAATATTTTTCTTATAAAATAAAGCAGAACCTGAATTTTGCTGTTATATCTCTCTAAAGCTGTCCTTTCTCTTTTATTGTTTTGGGCTTTTTGAACAGAAATTAAAACCTAAATCTTCAAATCACACATCTGTCAGAACTTCCATTCAAGTGCTTGGCAAAAGGTAAGTTGAGATTTTAGTGAATTAAACACACTAGTGAACAAAAGCTAGGAATGTGGTCTAATCATTTTTTGTTACCATTTAGACCACGTTGACATTAAATAACAAAGCATTACTTTTCAGGAGAAGGACCAAGAGCAATCTCTTATAATAGGCTGATGGCTTGTGACCCCATAGAGTAAAGGAAGTTTCCGTACTGGAGATTATTGCTATTGTAAATAATCTGCCACATGAAAAAGAGTGTGAACAGTTGCTCAGAATGAATGTTCTGTTATATTCTCCAGAGTTTGCTTTTTTTCCCCTCATATTATTTGGCAAACACTATTCTTCTGTGACTCATTTTAACTCCTTGAGTGTTCCAGAATGTGCAGGTTACATCCAGTAAAGCACAGCTCATGATCATGAATAAGTATCTCCTTTCCTGAAACAGTCAGCTCATGGAAGAGAACATTTTGATTACCGAAACATAGCCTTTTAATTGTAATTCATATTTCTCACATTTGTTAATCACATCTAGATGCAGTCCAGTATATGTTGGAGGAAGCTCTGCTCCATGTGGTATAGGAACAAATACTTCCCAGAGGTAGGAAATTTGAAATAAATGGTACTTTATCATTCATTCCAAAAGTGATATGCAGCTTTTAAAGATTTTAGTGTCTAGCATCATTTGCATGACAGTGTAATAAATGTGACAAATAATTTTGTTTTATAATGCCTGGTGCATTTCTTAGCTAACTTCAATATACAGAAAATTTTAGCACTTCTATTAGATAATTGGAGCTTTTATGCTAGTTTTTGTTTGTTTTATACAAAAAAGATTAGGATTAAGATTAGGGGTAAAAAGATTAGGATCCCAGAGGGTTAGACCATTCGGCATGATTTCTGTCTCTTAGCCTGTTTGCCTAAATGCTGTCTGATCTCATTGTTGTGACTACCATTTCTCCTTTGAGAATAGTTTCTATTTTTTACTAATTGCCTTAAAAACTACTTGAAAAAATAAAGAAGTCTGAACATCTATAAATCTTTTTCCCATACTGAATTTAAATTTTAGCAGGTAGTACATATACCTTACGTCTTCTGTAGTTGTTACCATTGATTTTTTTCTGATTTAATTCAAAAGCCAAAGAATAGAACCATAATCGTATGTAAAAGCGTTGGGCATTGACAGACTTTAAACTTAGAGGATTTTAAGGTCCTGGAAAAGGTGCTGTAAGTGGAATCTCACTTTCTCATAGCAACGGTATTACAATAAGGGGGTTACACATTCCTGATCAAAGGCTTACTATTCAACTTTGAAATGACTGCAAAGATTGTATTTAATCAACAATAAAAATATATTTGCAAAGTATAAAGTTTTCTATAGCAAACAGTTAATCAGCATCATATCAACCAGTCACCGAAAACTGTACAAAATATGATATAGTATCATGATCTACCAAGTTCTTATCTTTTTAATTCCTGCCTTATTTTTAATGCAACAGATCATTGCATCTGATGATGAAACTTTTTCACCAGTCATGGAATTAGAAAGTGGGCGCCTATGGGTCAGTTTGAATGAATATCCTTGACAAGATTTTGGGCACTTGGTGGCCTTTTTTTTTTTTTAAACATTTTTATGGCCCTTTTCTCATAGCAGCCTTAGTTTTTGGAGTTTGCTACCTAGCAAAATTCAAAACATTAAAAAGATGGCTAGTAAGTATCTAAGAAAGAAAACAGTAATCTTAGAGAGTCAGAATGGATTCATCAAGAATAGGTTATATCAGGCTAGCTTCATTTCCTGTTTGACAGGGTTACTGGTAGACCAAAAGTATGCTATATAGTTTGCCTATATGTAATAGAACCAGATATAGTTTGCCCAAATTTTAGCAGAGCATCTGGCAAAGTCTTATGCTGTCTTTTTGAACATCACTTCCTAACAGAGCTATCTAAAAGTGGAATGAGTTAATATATAGAAGGTAGCAGATTTTCTTTCACTGTAAGTTTTCAAGAGAAGGCTGGATAATTACTCATTAGGAACGTTGCTGAAGGGATTTTTGTTATGTACAGATTGGACCAAGAACACATCTGAGTTTTACAGAGATCAAATTTTTAGTCTTTCTATGTTTGAAAGATTTCTTGCTTTCTTGAGCTGTTAATTCACCAATAATAAAAGCCTCAGCTTACACCATAATTTTAAAATTCATGAACTAATATATATGTTCACTGAATTTTCCATTCTTTGATCATTGTTAATGCTTCACAATGTCCAAAAAAAATCCCAACAAACCACAAATTCATACTAAGTTTGATCTCAGCACAAAATTATGAGTCTTTTCATCCCAGCCACAACTTAGCATCCCTCCCTTGCCTCTCATGCTACCAGCAACAAGGCTGCACTAGCCAAGGACCCAGCATGTGGCTAGGGGTTTGCAACAAAACCTAGCCCCAGACCCTACTCCCCGCACTTTTTTCAGTGCTATGGAAATCCTGTTTTTCAGATTGTGGAAATTTGCTAGTGCAGTTTCAAATAGCAAGCATAGCAGGTGGCAGCCCACCAGGAGCAAATACTTTCTGGGGACTAGAACCTGATAGCATCAGCACTGCAAAGCTCTAAATTACTGGTGCCTGGGTGGACAACCCCATAGCATGAGCATGGCTGCTCCCTGAGCCAGGCCAAACAACTGAGGAACAGAGGGAGTGGGACAGACAGTCAGAACAGGCTATCATTGGTGGTAGGGGAGTGGCATCCAGGTAGGGCCAGTTTTCATCACTCAGAAGTCATTTCATGCAGAGCCCTGGGGTGATGAACCATGCCCAATGTGGGAGTATGCTGAGACACTTTGAGATGCAGCCCCCAAGGAAACTGGTATCAGAGGGAACAAGTCAGAATGAATAGGAGAAAATTAGGGGGAAAAAATTGAAGCTACCAAAGATCTCAGGAAGAAGACCCAAAGATTCTGAACATAAGCAGATAAATCAATAAAAAAACAACAGAAGGAAATTAACAGCAGAAAGCAATGTGGCCTCTAGATGTAGTAAATGAGTTCAGGTGTCTGTGAATAAATACTACAAAACAAAGGGTAATGATCCAACACTTGATAAAAAAAAGGACCCCGTGAAACGTGAGGAGAACATAGAACCACAATACGCTGTTCCTTAGTGATTCGAAAGAGAAATGAGAATTATGACAGCAGAATTTTGGGCCTGCACAGCAAAAATAATGGGCAATATAGAAAAACTAGAATCTGCACTGGCAAGTCTCACAAAAGAAACAAAAGGGAGAACAATAGATTGGGAATTCACATATACAGAAGTGAAAGTCTAGATGAAAAGAACCAAAAAAAAAAGTTAAAAAAAAAATGTGCTCACTATTCAAGCAAAAACATACTGATCTTAAAGCCAGAATGTCTAGACACAACCCAGGGAGCATAAGTCTCCCAGAAGAACATAACAGGACCATAATGTAGAATAATAGACGAGGACTATCCTGAACTTCTGGATATAGGAAATTAAATAACAATTGAAAGAATTCACGTGATCACCTCCAAGAAAATGCCCAAGGCTGCAAACTCCAGGACACATAGTGGTTAAATTTAACAATTCAATTCAGAAACAAATTCTGCAAGTGATCAGGAGAAATATCTTGAGGTGCAAAAGAAAGGAAATTCAAATAATTCAAGTCTATTGTATTCCACCAGAAAATGTAGGCGAAAGTGGAATAAAGTATTCCAAAGAACAGTAGAGCTAAGGATACAGCCCAGGGTAACTTACCCTGCAAATATGACTTTAAACAAAAATGAAAAGAAGATGGACATTCAATATTAAAGAGTTGTTACAGATACTTTGAGGAGAAAAAAAAAAAGACCTGAAGAGATTATTTAGTTCTGAAATACCCCAAACAACAGAAAGACAGGAGGAGTGAGTACATGCAGCATCCAAGAAGAGTAGCAACAACAGATGCCAGCAGACAAAACAGTAAGAACTTCTTTTTAAATGTACACAAGGAGACAAGAGTGAAGATGGAATTCCTGTGAAGGTTAACACTGAAAAGGTGGGCCCTTGGGCATTTATGGATGGAACCTGGTAATGTCCTCCTGCAGGGGAATCACTGTGGGTAGTTTGTTTTGTCTGTGGGACTGCTTACTATGTGGGAGGATACATGAAAGTGGGGAAGGAGAAGCAGAAAGATATAGAGGAATGTGTGATGTCCCAGGGTCAAATCTAGGACTAGCACTGAGGGGAAGGGAACCCCTATGGTCTCAAAAAAGAGAAGATCCTACAGGGGAGTGGAGGGGTGGGGAAGGATTGAAAAAGGAAGGAAGGAGAAGGACGCCTTGCTTTGATGATGGGAAAAGGTTCCGCTGACGAATGATTAAAGAGAGATGGTCTGTGAAAGAAGATGGGGGGACCTTGTACTGGGTGTGCCATGGGGGATTTGGTGTTTGAAAAGTCCACTTGTCCTACCTCAGGAGAAAGGAAGTTGGAACTTGTAAGGGTGACTGGCACCAGGGAAATCGGAAGAGCATGGATACAGAGAGGAGATTTTGAGGCAAATGGAGGGGGGAAGGTAACCAGGGGAAGGGACTACATAATCAAGAACACAGTAGGGGAGAGTTAGTGTCTTCTCTGACACCTGCAATAAATGACATTTTTCTGGGGGTGAGACACAGTGAAAAGGGGGAACATGGAGCAAGATCTATAAGGTAATGGCAGAAACCTCCAAGAGGGAAAAGCCTAGAATGGATACTTTGGAAGTTTTGATTGCATAAGGAATACAGAGAAAAGACAGAAACTAGACACTTACAGAGGCCATGAATAAGAGTTTAGAGTATCCAGAAAGAAGATGAATAATGAATAGAATAAGAGAACTCCTTTTTTGGAAAGGGTGCAAAAATTTTAAATAAAAAAAACTAATAAACAAGGGTATTTGAAGAGGAGATGAAGGAGGAGTCCACTTGACTGAGAGGAGGGGAAAAAAAGGAACTAATAAGCAAAATCCCAAATGGAAATGGGTAACAAATGCGAGGAAAAGATCAGGGGTGAGGGGAAGAGAGGCAGCCATAACAGGACCACCTTAAAAATATTAAAATGAAGTCATTGAACAAACATAGTATTATGTTTACAGCAGAGGAGGGGAAAATCACAACTTGGGGGGGGACCCTAATATTAGACACAGGAGGAAAATATAATCCTAACTTGTAATTTTAAATGTGAATTTATTAAACGGTCCATTTAAAAATGACAGATTAGCTAAGAAAACACAACCCTACAATCTGTTGCTATATTTAGAAAAGTATATTTAGAAAACAAAGACATACACAAAATAAAACTTAGGGGATGGAAAAAATAATTAACTATGCATCAAGTGAATCCAAAAAAGCAGGCACTGCAATCAGGCACTGCTGTCTGACAAAGCAAATACAAATATACAAAAAATAAACAGGATAAGGAAATTATATTACAGTGAAAGGAACCATAGCCAACAAATCAATATGCTCCAAATTCATAAAGAAAAATATCTGGGCTACAAGAAGACACAAACACTAATGCAGGAGTGGCAGAATACTCAATATTTCTCTCTCAGTTTTGGATAAATAACAAACA